ATGTGGGTCTTATCCAATACGTTATGATAAGGCCAATAGATGATGAGGGTAAACGGGCTTGGATCATGAAGGTCAGACAAGATCACTAATCCGAAGGAGGTGACAGATCCGCCACCTCTCCGCAACCCTGGAGGCGAGGGAGGTAGTGTGGAATTTCAAAGAAGAAAAGGACCCGGGCGGAGCGGGGCGGGGTGGGGTGGGGGTGGGGCGCATTGGAAAGTCTTGCCGGCCTTCTTGTTGGGCCTCAAAAGAGAAGCGAGATTTCCCTCAAATGTGAGGGGGGAAGACGGGGAGTAGAGGCAGGCTGATGGCGTTAGAGGGGAAAGGCAAGGAGGTGGCAACACATGGGTGGAGGTAGCTTCTAGCACTTGGCCAGGATGGAAAGGGCAGGGAGGAGTTTATCAGGCATCCCATATCTAATTCACTAAAAATTCCTGTTGTCTCTACCTTCAAAATATATCCATAATCTTCCCACTGTCCCCCTGGACCTCTTCCCTGGTTTCCACCCCCATTCCCATTATATTCTGCTCATGGCGTGGGGAACGATCCTGTTAAGTCCTAAATCACGCCACGACCCTCCTGTGCTCAGAGCTCAGAGCTCTACCTGGGCTCCCATCTCACTCAGATTAAGTCAAAGCCAAAGCTATGGCCCACGAGGCCCTACACAATCTAGCCCCACCCCTCACTCCTCTGACCTCTCACCTCCAACCACTCCCCCGCACTCTGTTCCAGCCACACTGGCCACCTCGATGTACCAGGCACAGTCCAACTTCACAGTCTTGGTACTTGCTTTCCCCCTGGAGTTTCACACCCACACACACTGATAACCTTACCCGGCCGACTCCTTACGAGTCCCTTTTCTTACCTCTCCCTGTGCTTTTCTTTATCATAGTCTGTAATTATTAGTTTATATGTTTATTGACTGTCTCTTCTACTAGACTAGGGGATGTGACCATGACTAATTTATGCTATAGACACATCACCTAGAGCACTACTAATGCTAAGAAACATTTATTGAGGAAATAAAAGAAACAACATAGCATGAGACATTTTACTATCATTTTACTCTTCTTCTCTGCTTAAAATCTCCAGTTGATTATACCTTATCCAGAGTCAAAGCTGAAGTCCTCACAACCTTGTCTACAAGCTCCTATGTGACCCCATTACCTACCTCTCGGACATCACCTCCTACCACCCTCACTTGCTCACTCCACTGAAGCCCCACTGATCTCCTTGCTGTTCCTCAAACACACTAGACGTGCTCCCACCCCAGGGCCTTTGCACTGGCTGTGCTCCCTACCCAGAATGCTCTTCTCTCCAGTTATCTGCATGGCTCATTCCCTCACCTCCTTAAGTCTTTATTCCAATGTCACTTCTTCAATGAGGTCTTCTCTGACTACCTACTTATACAGCAACCTTTCTTCCCCTACTGTCACTCCTAATCCCCCTTGCCCCAGTCTACTTTTTGTTTTTCCATTTCACTTATTATCACCTTATGTCATACTAGATAACTTATTTATACATCATGGTAATTGTTTAAGTCTTTCTCCCCTGCTACAATGTAAGCTCCACAAAGATAAGGATCTTTGCTCTGCTCAATATAGTTTACCACCAATGAGGAGTACAGTACCTGTTAACAGACTTTTTTGGGTTGGGGGAAGGGGAAACCATAATTTCTTTGGTACCTAATCTAGTGAAGGCATGGTATATCTTCCCAGCAGGGGCAGCTGGGATGAAGCTGACCCCAAGACTATAAGTGAAGGAAGAAGGAAGGAAGAAAGGTCATGGCAGATAGTGGGTGAAGCCAGGGCAGAGGCAAAGCAGCTCAGCCCTTCCCTAAAGGCACCGCCTGTGTCTGGACCCCCTCTCCTTTTGTATCTTTTGTCTCCACAGGTCACTGCAGCCCGGGAGGACCCCGTTGGTAGGCAAGAGCTCAGGAGAAGGACTGCCCCCCGTTCCCACCCCTACACCCCAGGTCTCCACCCCTCAAACCAGGAGACCCTTAACTGTCTTTGCTGTTTATATATATATATATATATTATATATAAATATCTATTTATCTGTCTGAGCCCTGCCCCCACTCCACTCCCCTTATGCATAAGGGACCCGATCTTGCATGGGCCCCTCTCTTACCCCTACCCCTTCCCCTTCATCCTGTGGCCCCTCTCTGTTCCCTGGCCCTGTGCCCTGAGGTTGGGGGGCTCTGTAAGGGGGACAGGGAGGAGACAGAAGGCTGTGTGGGGAGGGTGGATGTGAGTTCAGACTCCCCTCTCTCCCTCCCCTCCTCCCAACTCGGGCCTTGATTCCTCTAGCAATGCCTGAACAGGGGCCATTAGGGAAAATTCAACTCTGAAGAGAGGAGAAAGGCAGAGGCTGGGGGAGCTTGGGACCCAAGGTGGTCTTGGAGAGGACCTCTAGAGTGAACAGGGCTAGTAAGCAGAGGGGTTGGGTTCCAGACATACTGGATCTGGAGTCTGAAGAAGAAGGGTGCCCTACAGCATTCTAGAATGGGGCTTAGAAGGAAGCTGAGGGTGTGGTCCTAGAAGGGGTGGAGCTTTGAGTGAGGCAGCGGGTGGGCCCACAGTGGGCAGGGGTTGGAGTAGGACAGGGTTCTACGGAAGGAGTGTGACTTGGGACCTGGACACTGGGTTTGGAAAAACGCTAAGGGCGTGGTTCTAGAAGGGGTGGGGCTTGAAGCAGGCAGTGGGTGAGGCCCCAGAGTGGGCGGGCCTTGGATTGGGACCAGAATCTATGGAAGGGGTGTGGCTTTGAACACTCCCGAGAGACAGAGTTTGATTCTAAAGGGGGCCGACCTTGGGCAAGGCAAGAAGTGGAGTTCAGGAATGGGCCAAACTTGGAGTGAGGTCGTGACCGTGTTCTAGGCAGTTCGGGGCTTAGAGTGGGGCGTGCATGGTGGTTTCTGAAGGAGCAGCCCCGCCCCCGCAAAGGAGCAGTGAAGAAAATATGTTTTAAAGTGGTTGGGCTTGGCAGTGGGGAGGGCGAGGTGAGAGGCTTGGTCAGGAGCTGAGGGATGGGTTTCGTTAGGGGTAGTGGGGAGTATCCTTGGCCAAGGCTGGGGACTGAGGTGGCCTGGGAAGAGCTGAGAGATAAGACTTGGAGGGTAAGGGGTGGGATCCAGAGAGAGGCACCCCCCACACCCTTGCCTACCCCGAGATGGGACAGCTAGGCAATCAGGATAGAGCCAAAGGGTCTGTGGGGCCGACCTACCCTTCTCCACCCCCACCCTGGCCTCCTCCCTACCTCCACACCCCCATCCATCCCGGAGTGGTTGGAGGCCCGGTCTGGAGCCCCTATCCTGCACCCTCTGCTGTGTCTGTGACGTCGGTAGTGCCTGTGCTTGTGTGTTGCCATTTTGTCTGGCTGTGGCCCCTCCCCCTCCCCTCCAGACCCCCACCCTTTCCCATGCCCTTCGGTATTGTTTGAAGACTCCATCCCCGAGGAGGAAAAAATATGATTAATTCTTCTCCCCTAAATAAACTCCTCAACCACCTAGTCCACACGGCTCTTACTTCTCAGTGTGTCTTTTTGGAGGGGGAGAGAAAGATGGGGAAGAGGAGGCGAGAGGAAGCTCCGCCTCCGACCTGCTGGACACCGTTCGAGTCACCCCGCCATTTTCGGCCCCTCCAACAGTGTTTTGCTGAGCCCTATCCTCTGTGAAGCCTCGCCTGCCGATCATTCTAAGTCACTCTCTGAGTAGCCCTGACAACTGCCCCACTACTGGCCACCGAATGCCCAGTCTTTCTAGGGTTCGGTTCTAATTCTGGTCCCTTAGCCATGCCCCTTCCCAGCCCCTGTGGAGCCCTGTCCTTGAATCCCCAAACGGTTCAAAGGGAGACTTCCCTCTAGCCACCCGCCTCGCATTCTTCAGACCCTGATGTCTCTCTATTTCCTTGTCTCTGGTCCAGCTGGAGAACTGGGAGACCGACTAGGCTGCAAGGCCGGGAGGCGGGGCGCCAAGGTGACTCGTTAGTTCTTTCATTCATTCCCTATAACCTGTCTCAGGCTCCTCCCTGGGGCAGGGAGGGGCGGGAAGTGACCAGGATGTGCGTAATGGGGCGCAGTGGGGATGGGGGATGAAGTCCCTGGCGCCCACGATGAAGGGCCCGGCTGACCGCCGCCACCCCGGTGCCTAATTAGAGACCCTGGCCGGGCACCGGAGTTCTGGCTGTGTGCCGGGGACACCCTCCTCCCAGCCCCGAGGCATAGCGAAGCCTGAGAGCGCGGAGAGACTCCTAGCTCAGGGAATGAGCTCAGGGGAAAGAATCACTGGAGAGAGAAAAGTGAGAGCAGGGGAGGGAAGGCTTGAAAATCTATTTCTCGGGACTTAGGGGGCATCGCAGCTGGGCCTGTAAAGATGGGGAGCGAACAGGGAAGAGGGCCTCGGAGCCTGGCCGGTAACTTTAACCCCCTCCGGCTCTGAAAACGGATGAGAGCGGGGACGTGGGGCGGGGGCATAAGATCGAGCTCTCTGATGGGGTGAGGGAGCACCAGCTGGGGCTGCGATGGGGCTGGGGACCATTCTTGCGGCATTCATCCGGGGGAAAGAGAACCTCAGAACATCACCAGTGGGGAGGGGGCCAAGAGGTGGCTTTAACCCATCCCCCAAATAAACATCCAAGATAAATCACACAAAGCGTCAATACAAGTACTGTAGCGCACACTCCTTACAGTCAGGTCTCCACTTCCAAGTTCCCACTCCTCTACTACAGAGCCCTCAAGGCCTAGAATGTCCTGTGAGAGACCATGTGGAACCCTGGGGGCTCTGGGGCCCGTGTTTTCTGAGGCCCAGCTCCCGCCCACGCAGGAGTGCAAGGAAGCTTTCGCGCACGGCGTTCCTGGGCTGCGCGCCCCTCACCTCTAGGCAGGGGGCGCCTTGGCCCGGGAGAGACAACAGGCCCAGGGGCGGACCCCGCTGGGCGCGCTCCTCCTACGCCGGTGTCAGGTTTACGGAACCGAGAGCTCCCCTGCCGGATGCGCGGTGGCCAGACGGCCACAAGGATTCCATTCGCCTGACCCGGCCCGGCTTGACCCTGCCTGGGCGCGCCATGTTCGCGCGTGGGTCCCGGAGGCGCCGCTCAGGGCGCGCGGTGAGCGAGACTCAGGGCAGCGGTGGGGGTCGGGGTAAACTGAGGCCCGGGAGAGGGAGCAGGGTATAGGGATAGTGAGGAGGCGCTCCCAGAGGATCTGGGGATCCCCATCCTCAGGGTTCCCAAACCGGAGGGCCTGGGACTGCTGGAAGTATGTGGATGAAGGAACGTGGAGATCTGGTGGCCCTTGCTCCCTAATCACATTTCCGCACACCTTTATCAGCACCCCAGGGACCTGGTGCACTCCCCTCTCCGGTGAATTATGGGAGGGGATTCTGAGAGCCAAAAGATTGGGTCCTGGAGTCCTAGATTGAGCAGGGGCCTCCTGAGCTTATGAGAAAAGGGACCTCTTCCTGTACCTTGGCGGAAGGTGAACTGAGGAGTGAGGCCCTACACTCCTGGGGTGCCCTAATACTGAGAGTCGAGTGGTTGGGATTTGTGAGGAGAGGGCTTCCAGGCTTCCACTTGAGCCAGGAAGCTTTTGACTTCCTAGATGGGAGTGTCTCTCTCTTCCCTTGGAGGGGCTGTCTGGGTGGGGTCTGCGTTTGATGGTCCAGAAGAGAGAATAGCCCTAGGATATGAGGGGTAAGGGCCAAGGCTTCTTGGGGTGTGGGTTTCAGAATGGCTCAAGGGCCTCCTGAGATCCTGGCGGAGGGTCTCAGTTCCTTGGGTATGAAAAGGTGAAGCCAGGGTTTGGGGGATGGGCTCTTGAGCTTCTGAAAACAGGAGTAGGGCTCACGTGGGGATCCCAAGTAAGGATGGGGTCTCAGATTCCTACCCTGTGGAACTGGAGTGCTGCTGGCTTCCTGAGTGGAGAAGGGGCCGAGATGAGGCCTGAGAGGAGACACCCAGATTAGGGGCTCTGCTCTGGTGGGGAGAGTACTCTGAGTTCAGGGGGAGGTGTTTTGAGGCCTGGAGGAGTCAGAGGCTGGTGGGGAGGTGTCGAGGCTGGGTGAGGGGAGTCCAATGCTGGCCCGGGGAGGGGAATTCCCTGAAAGGGACGGCATATAGGGAGGTGGCCTCAGCTCCCCCGCCTCTACCTCGGTTGTGTCCCCCTCCCCCGCGCTCTGGACTCTGTCCCAGCCTGCCTGGCCTTGCCCTGGTGGGACATGCCCCGGCGTGTGGTTGCCGGCCTCGGAGTGGAGAGGCGGGTGTTGACTTCTCTCTCCCTCCCCGCCCGCGCGCACCTCGCCGGGTCCCGCGTCTGCCCCCTCCCACTACAGCCTCAAGAAGCAGAGGACCCAGACCGAGGCCAGCCCTGCAACTCCTGCAGGGAGCAGTGCCCCGGCTTCCTGCTGCATGGCTGGAGGTAGGTGACCATCCCAGAACCTTGTCTTCATCAGGGTCCTGCCCTTATGGGAACCTGCCCTTAGGGGAACCCCCCCCAACTTAGGCCACGCCCCTAGGCTTGAGCCAGGTCTTAGAGAAAGCTCAGGTCCAGAGCCCCTCCCCTGACTCATTCCCAATTGTCCAGTTCCCAGGAGAGCTCCGCCTACTACACAGCCCCGCCCCCAGAAATGTGCTCCAAGTTTCTGAGTCCCATCTCTAGGGAGATCCTCCGTCCCGGGCTCTAAGAACCGCCCACTGACCTCCAGCCCCCTTCTGGGGCTCAGAACTCCCCTCCCAGACCCAGGTCCTATCCTCCTAGTGGAGCCCTGTACCCAAAACGTCCCATAAAATACCACAGACAGAGCCCTACTCACTCAGCTCAGAGCCTCAGCATAAGCTAGAGCCCGCCCCTAGGGAAAGTTCCCCCACCACGTCCAAAGTCATGAGGGGAAACCCCTAGATTTATAACTCCAATCTCAGACTCAGAGCCCCACCCCTACTCAGGCCCGTTGCCGGGAGAGTGTGACCCAAGTCCCAGTGCTGAAAGTCAGGGGATGGCCTTGAGACCTGCCACAGCCCCACCACCCCTTCACATCCTCGGCCCAGGCCCCGCAGCCCCACTCCCAGCTCACAGCCCTGCCCCCAGCTGGCTGCTCTGCCCCTCACAGCCCCGGCCAACTCCCCACAGTAGTCTGGCTCACAGCCCCACCTCCGCTCAGCACCGCCCCCAGGCCCCTGTCTGGCTCGGAGTCTTTTGCTGGTGATAATCTGAATGTCTCTGGCCCTCAGTTGGACTTCCTTGGGCTGCCAAGGGGTCCAAGTGGGCCCTCCCTTAGGAGCTGACCCCCCATCCCGGTCCCCTCAGAAAGATCTGCCAGCACTGCAAATGCCCACGGGAGGAGCACGCCGTGCACGCAGTGCCTGTGGACCTGGAACGCATCATGTGTCGGCTAATCTCAGACTTCCAGCGCCACTCCATCTCTGACGACGACTCCGGCTGTGCCTCGGAGGAGTATGCCTGGGTGCCCCCTGGTCTCAAGCCCGAGCAGGTGACCAAACACCACCACCCACTCTTGCTCACCAGTGGGCACACACACACATGCACACTCAAGTGGGAACCTATTTCCAGGGAAACTCTAGGGTGCGTGGTCAGACTGTGCATGTCCTTCTGACCCCTCTGTGGTCTAGCAGGGAACCCTGATTGATTGCTGGGCCAGTTCCTCAGGACCTGTTCACCCCTCTCCTGTCCTCCCCTTACCTCAGTTCTTATCCCAGCACTTCATTCACTACACTTCCATTGATTGATTCATTCAACAAACAGTCACTGAGCACTTACCGCATGTCAGACAATGTTCTAGGCACTGAGAACACAGCAATGAACAAAACACAAAAAAATACATCTGCCCACATGGAGGTTGTATTCCCAAAGGGAGCAAGAGCCAGTAAGTAAACCTGTGAATATATGTCAGATGGTGTAAGGGCTACGGAACAAATAGAGCAGGGAAGTGGAAGAGAGGGAGAGGGGGGAGAGAGAGAGAGAGAGAGAGAGAGAGATGTTAGAATTGTAAATAGGGTGCCCAGGTCAACCTCTGTGAGAGTATGATGTTTGAGCTTCTTGAAGGAGGTGAGGATATGAGCCATGCAGATATCTGAGGTTAGAGCGATCCAGGCAAAGGAAACAGCTAATGCAAAGGCCTTGAGGCAGGAGTGTGCTTGGCATGTATGAGAAACAGCGAGGAGACCAGTGTATCTGGAGCACAGTAAGCAATGGGGCGAGTGGTTGGAGGTGAGGTCAGAGATGGCGGAGGCCATGGACAGAACTTTGGCTTCCACTCTGAATGAGGGAGAGGACACAAGAGGCTTGTGAGCAGAGAAGGGATGTGATTTGTCTTAGGACTTAACAGAATCCCTCTGGCTGCTGAGTGTAGAATGGACTGTAAGAGGGTGGAAGCAGGGGATCAGTGAAAGGGAGGCTACTGCAATGGTCCAAGTGACTGATGATGGTGCTGGCAGTGGAAGTAGTGAGTGGTGGTCAGATTCTAGTTATATTTTGAAAATAGAGCTGAGAGGATTTGCTTGTGGGTGTGACAGAGGAGTCAAAGATGACCCCAAGGATGGATGGATTGACTGATATGGGGCAGGCCAAGGCAGGAGCAAGTTTGAGGGCTAAGAGCATAAGTTTGGTTTTGGCTATGTGGAGTTTGAGATGCCTGTTGGACATCTGAGTGGTCACGTTGTCTGGAACTCAAGTGAGAGGTCACAGGGCTGGAGGTATGCAATTGTGAGGCATTAGCCATGAGATGGTATTTATAGCCATGAGGGTGGATTCGATTCCCAAGGGACTGAAGGTAGACAGAGACAAGAGGACCAAGGACTGAGCCTGAGGACCCTCCCACATTTAGGGGTTGGCCAGTTGAGGAGGAACCAAAACAGGGGCAGAGAAGGAGCAGCCAATAAGGTAGGAGGAAACAAACCCAGGGCTGTGTGGTGTTCTGGAAGCTAAGGGAACAAAGTGTTTCCAGGAAGAGGGAGTGATCAGCTGTGTCCAGTGCTACTGATGGGTCAAGTTGGATGAAGACTGAGACCTGAACAATGAGTTCAGCGATGTGGATATCATCAATGACTATGACAGGAATAGCTTTGGAGGAGAGGCAGGGACAGAGGGGGCGGGGAAGCCTGACTGTAGTGGGGTCTAGAGAGAATGGGAGGAGAGGAAGTGGAGACAGCAAATGCACACAACTCCTTCAAGGAATTTTGCTATAAAGGGGAAAGAAAAGTGGAGCAGCAGATGGAGGGAAAAGTGGGGTCAAGACATGAGGGAACTCTCAGTATGCTTAGGAAGTGGCAGAAATGATCTGGCCTGTAGGGAGGAGGGGGTCAATAGAAGTTCCCTCATGATGACTTTAATTTTCTCAGAAAAGCAGGGACCCACCATCCCACTGCATCACCCCTAGTCTCAATTGTTTTCTCCCATCCCCCATGTCCTCCCAGGTGTACCAATTTTTCAGCTGCCTTCCAGAGGACAAGGTCCCCTACGTCAACAGTCCCGGGGAGAAATACAGGATCAAGCAGCTGCTGCACCAGCTGCCCCCACATGACAGTGAGGTGAGGAGACAGAAGACAGGAAGGGCATGCCAGGTAGGGGACACAGCCTGGACAAATGCTGGGCAGCTGGAAAGAAGTGGGCAGGGTCAGAGGAGGAAAGGTGAGCTGATCTGAGGTGACAGGTCTGGACAGGCAAAACCACAGCTGTGCCTTGGGAGAAGAGGTAAGGGGTGGGTATTTAAGGCAGGAAGCACCATCTATATAAAGGCCTAGAAGTAAATTTTTTGAGCATGGATGAAATTTGGAAGAAGGCTGGGGGCAGGCATCAGGGGAGGAGCCTGGAAGATCCCCACTACTCCAGGCACAGTACTGCACAGCACTGGAAGAGGAAGAGAAGAAAGAGCTCAGAGCCTTCAGCCAGCAGCGGAAGCGGGAGAATCTGGGGCGTGGCACTGTGCGCATCTTCCCCGTGACCATCACAGGGGCCATCTGTGAGGAGGTGAGCCATGGAGGGCCTCAGTGAGTAATGGTGCCTTTGCTCCAAGCCCTGGGGTACAGGGCCCATCTTCCAGGCCCTGGAAAGAGTTTTCTCCCCTCCATGCAGCGTACATGGGGCGTGGGCTATCTCTTTGGTCCTCCTATGATTGAAACTTGTCTTTAAGAACCAACCCACAGTGGCAGGGCCTGTCTCTAGAGCTGGGTGATGGGTGGGATTTATCTCTAAGGCCCCCCTGGTGGGTGGAGCCTAACCTTAGATCTTACTGTTAGGTGAGGTCTGTTGCTAAGATCCCCCAACTGGGCCTGGCCTGTCTTTATGGTTTCCCCAACTCCCTAAAGGGGAGACTTGCCTTTAAGGCCACCCACGAGAAATAGGGCCTGTCTCTGTGGTCTCCCCCAGGAGCAGTGTCCAGGGCCTATCTCAAAGTTACTCCCTGGATGGGGCCTGTCACAAAGGCCACGGGGAAGGCCCACGTGTTACACGCCTTGGCTGACCCCCATCCATCCTACCATCTTGGTGATGGTGACGGCGTCCACCTGTCATTTGGCAGTGTGGGAAGCAGATTGGAGGTGGGGACATCGCCGTGTTTGCCAGCCGTGCAGGCCTGGGTGCCTGCTGGCACCCACAGTGCTTTGTGTGCTCCACGTGCCGGGAGCTGCTGGTGGACCTCATCTACTTCTACCATGCGGGCAAGGTCTACTGTGGTCGCCACCATGCTGAACGCCTGCGCCCGCGCTGCCAAGCCTGTGACGAGGTTCGTGTCTCTCTGCCCAGGGGTGTGAACGGAGGGTGGGCAGGGGCAGGCCCTTCTGATGGCCATGGACGGCCTTTGCCCCCCAGATCATCTTCTCCCATGAGTGCACAGAGGCCGAGGGCCGGCACTGGCACATGGGTCACTTCTGCTGCTTTGAGTGTGAAGCATCACTGGGAGGGCAGCGCTATGTCATGCGTCAGAGCCGCCCCCACTGCTGCGCCTGCTACGAGGCCCGCCACGCGGAGTATTGTGATGGCTGTGGGGAGCACATTGGTGGGTGAACATGGGACTGGATGGGGGATGGATGGACAGCTGGGTCACAGCCCCACTGCCAGGATTCTTCCTGGGGGCATCTTCCAGGCCCCATCTTCCGTTATACCCCATACTTTAAGTCTAGCTCCAGCACTGTAGCCCTATACCCTTCCCTGCAATTCCATTACCAATGTCCCCCATCATGCCATACTTTCTAAACCCCACCTACACTAGGCACCATGACACATCTAGGTCCACCTCCAGAGTGCCCTCTAATTCCTAGCCCTGCCCCCCACCATAGCTACCCTCCTACCCTCTCAGCCTGGCCCCTACTCCAAGCTATGCCCTATTCTCTAAGACTCCTCCATCAGCCTAGGTAAACCCTACCTTCTAAGCCAGACCCTACTCTCTAAGACCCACTCCCTTCCCACCAAGGCCATGCCCTACCTTCTATGTCCTGCTGTCACCCCAGGCCTCTTCTTCAGGTCCACCTTCACTCTCCTTCCACCTGAAGCCACCTCTTAATGTCTAAGCGTGACCCACATCTTGGAGTCCAATGTCTACCCCCACCCTGGGAAAGAAAGGGAGGCAGAGGAGACATTTATCAGCCAGTTTCCAGGAGAGAAGGATGAGGACGGGCCCATTCTGGAGAGGTGGGGGGAGAGGGCACCTCCGGGTACCCTGCCTCAGATTCCCTGCCTCTTCCCAAGAAGGGCCCCTATTCAGGAGGGTGGGGAATATGCCTGGGGGCTCTGCCTCAGTTTTCCCCCTCGTGTCCATCCCCGCAGGCCTGGACCAGGGCCAGATGGCTTATGAGGGCCAGCACTGGCACGCCTCAGACCGCTGCTTCTGCTGTAGTCGCTGTGGGCGAACCCTCTTGGGCCGCCCCTTCCTGCCACGCCGTGGCCTAATCTTCTGCTCCCGAGCCTGCAGCCTGGGGTCCGAGCTCACGGCTCCGGGGCCCGGCCGCCGCAGCTGGAGCGCAGGCACGGTCTCCACACCTCTCACAGCCTCTACAGCCTCTTTCTCTGCTGTGGAGGGGGCGTCTGAGACCTCCACAAAAGGCACCAGCACCGAGCCAGAGCCTGGTGAGCCAACCTTCCAGCCACTCCGGTGCTCCCGCCTCAACCCTGTCCCCGCCCCTTGATTCGCCCAGGCCCTTCACCTGTGGCATCCCTGGCCCCGCCCCATCACAGCCCTGGCTTCGTCCCCAAACCATTCCGGGCCTAGTCTCCATCCCCAGCTACACCCCAACGTGAACCCAGGTTCCACCCCACTTCTGTACAGGGCCCTTCCCCTACCTCAACTTGTCCCAGCTTGAGCCCAAGTTGCTCCTTTCCTCCAAACCCTCTACCCCTCACCATCCGCCCCCCCAGGCCCCGCCCCCATTCTATCCCAGACCCTGTCTGCTCCAGCCCATGCCACTCCCCTTTCACCAGAAGCCACGCCCCCACCCCGGCCACACCCCATACACCAATCCATCTGGTCCTGTTCCTCCTGCTTTCAACCTTCCCTCCACCCAGAACCTGCCCCAGGCCTCACATTTCCCGGACTCCCCACCTCGCTGCCCCGCACCATGCCTGCCTCCACTTTCCCAGTCCTGATGGGGGAGAGAGAAGGCCCTTTCCAAAGGCCTCCCCTGGGCTGGGGTAGGGGTGGGGCGAGAGATACAAGGAGTCACTCCATCTCTCTCTTTCCAGCTGCAGGCCCCGAGGAGCCTGCCCGCTTTCTGAGAGGGGCCCCTCACCGCCACTCCATGCCTGAGCTGGGGCTCCGCAGTGTCCCCGAACCACCCTCAGGGCCTCCCGGCCAGCCGGACCCGCACCCAGAAGATGGTGCCTTTGGTCGCCAGAGCACCCCACGCGTCAGCTTCCGCGACCCTTTGGTGTCTGAGGGAGGCCCGCGGCGGTCCCTGAGTGTGCCCCCAGCCCAGCGCCGCAGGCCACGCAGCCCCCCGCCCAGGGGCCCCATACATCGTCGCCGCCACCACCACCACCACCACCATCACCGCCGCCACTCTGGCAGACGTCGCCACCATCAATGTGACTTGGGATCAGGGTCGGACTCGGGATCTTGCTCCAGCTCGCCCTCCAGTCCCAGTTCCGAATCCTCAGAGGACGATGGCTTCTTCCTAGGGGAACGCATCCCACTGCCCCCGCACCTGTGCAGGCCAATGCCTGCTCAGGACATTGCAACTGAGACCCCCAATTCCCCATCTCCACAGCTCCCCGGGAACTCTCGCCCAGGGATGCCTCGCCAGGCCAGAGACAAGAACTGCATCGTGGCTTGAAGGAGTGACAGTTCTGGAGGGCTGCACTCTCAAGTCAGTGTAGATGATGACCCAGCCCCCCAACTTAAGTCATAAATCCCTTGCCTTCCTCCCTCCTTCATCTGTTTGTATTACTGAAGTAATTTAATATTTGTTTTAAAACAGGCCTGGCTTCTTTACCTCCTTGCTCCAGCTGCTCCAGCTCCCCCCAGTTTCCCCCTCCTGATGCTTGAGACATTTGATCAAAGGATTAATTTATTCACTATCATATGTTCTAATAATCTGCTTATTATTTATTTATTCCTCCACAGAACCCCTCTCCTCCCACACACACATGCACACTGAGAAGGTTATTAGGAGTGGGTTACAACCTGGGGCCTGGAGTCTGAAATCTGAGGCACCCTCTTCCGTCATTTTGTGGCTTAGGTGGGGGCATTGTCCAGGCAGAACTGGCGTCTCCGTTTGGATACTGCAGAAGGAAGGGGAACCTAGGCACACCCATAAAGGTGGCCATACCCAGAGGAGTTGATTGGCAGCCTGGAAGACAAATTCTCGCGATAAAGGCACTTTTACCTCAGTAGGGGGCTGGGAGTTGACTGGGAGTGTTGTAGTAGGGGCGGGGAGGAGTTATTTCGATGGAGGTGTTATTTGCAGGTTGCTGAGAGAAATGAAGGGAGTTCACCTACACCGGGCCATCTGCAGGGTCTGCAAGAGGAAAAGAGAGAACTCATTGGCTGGATCCATATGTCCATTTTGCAGATAAGAATACTGAAGCTTATGATACTTATTGGCACTAAAGCCTTAAGTGTCAATAAGAGACAGAGTTGGCATTCATGCCCCTTGGGAGACCCATTTTCTTTTCACCCCCTTAGCAACACCCCCCCCAACACACCCACACACTCACCAGTAGGGGCTGCTGTATGTCTTTGCTGCCGCAAGGGGAAGGTAATGTAGGCATCATAGCCAAAGAGGCATGCGGCGATTAGGCCCAGCACCTGGGGATGGGGATGGGAGTGAGGTGGGAGTGGATTAGGCTAGTCAGCCTACTCGGCCTCCTACCTCCTTGTATCCACCACCTCCAGTGACTACCCCATGCAGGGATGGTAGCTAAAGCCCCAGGTTGGCAAGCCAGAGAGCCCCAGGGAAAGGCCAGAGACTGGACTCTACCCCACCCTCCCTCTTCCTAGTACCTTTCAACACAGTGCAGCCACACAGTGGCCCCACACACAGGGGACGCCATTCATACTGTACATTGAGACAAAGCTCTAGCAGATGGTATAGTCTAGTGTATCAACAAAGGGGCCACCTCTCTGTGCTTCCCACAAAAGTCCCTGTGTCGGACAAGGGATGGCCCTTTACAGCAAATGATTTGGGGAGGAAAACCAGGGCCTGGGTCAGACTTTCCTGCAGGCCCTGAGGCCAAGTGTGACCTACTGTGGGTCACACACTTTCTGGCAGAAGCGGAGGCAGAAATGACCCCAGGATCCTCAAACCCCTCTCTCTGCTTTGGAGCTGACTCCACAGCCTTTACCCCTGCAACGATTTTGGAGTGGTTTCCTCTCTCAACAAGCACAACAATGGAGGTGATCAGGTAGAGGATGACCGCTACAAGGGTTCGAAAGAAATCCTGTGAGGTGTAGGGAGAAGAGGGAAGTCAGTGTCCAGAATTCCCCCCACAATCCCAACTTCCCGAGCCCCTCCCTAGCCTTGCCATTGTGGCCCCTTTCTCACACTCCAAGGCCAGTTGATGATCTGTATCTTGGTGTGCAGGTCGCACATGTAGACGACAAAGAAGATAGCAGCAAAGATCATCTCTATCACCGACAAGAAGGAGTATCCTGATGTCGAGGCACCGAAGCAGATCAGAATCACCAGGCACAATATCTGGAAGGATATGTGAAAGGGGTCCTCAATCAACTCCCAGGGCTGAGGGGACTGGTTTAAATTGGGGGCCTCAAACTCAGATGCGTACCAGGACTGGGAAAATGACAAATAATTATAGCTAAACACTTATTGTGTGCACACTGTGTTGCACATGTTGTTCTAAGAGCTGTACAAGTATTAATTCACTCAATCGTCACATCAACCTAATGAGCTGGGTACTATCATTAGTATCTTTAGTTTATAGATGAGAAAAGTGAGGCACAGAGACATGAAGTGACTTATCCAGGATCACCCAGCTAGTAAGGAGTAGATTTAGGTGCCTCAGTTTCCCCTCTTTTCCCTTCTAGGATGCTCCTGCCAGGAGTGGTGCCTTCAGGTGTTTTTTTGTGAGCACTCGCGGCGCCAGCTTCAGGGCTTTGACGGGGCGGGACGTGCGGTTCTCCCAGCAACCTCTTTGGGAAACGGTGAGAGCGATACCAGAGGGGCAGGGCTCCATTAAAGGCGCCGCACCCCTTTTACAAGTGACTCAAAGGAGGCGCCCACTTTGAGAGGGACGGGAAACCGAGGCTCCCAAATAGCTGAGGACCTCCCACCCCACCACAGAGAGGCGAGGAAGAACTGGGGGAGGGCTGGTCACCCTACCCCGCGGGACTAGCGCGCGGGGGCCCCACCCCAACAGGTCCCGCCCCTGGGCGCTCTGCCAACCCACCCGCCAGTGCCCAGGCCGCGCCACGCCCTGCCACGGGATGCACCCCAACACCCAGCCCCTGGGGACCCCTTCGATGAGTCCACCGATAAGTCTATGGGGTCTCTCTCCATGGGGCCCCACATATGCCCCATGGGCCTCTTGCCTGACCCCGTGGGCCAGCAGCTCCCGACCATCTTCTCCAAACTTCACTGACTCGCCCTGCGTGCGCCCCTTTTTTCGGGCCTGCGCCACCAACCCACGAACCCCTTGCTCCACTGCCAAGAGGCCCGGGCCACGCGCCTGCCTCCCCCGGAGCTGCCCCACTCCGTGTAGTCCAGCCACCCCACCCCGCCTTTGCCCACCCGCCAGTCCCGGGACGCTCACAATCTCAGCAAACAGGAGAATTCCCTTTCGGGTGCGTGAGAAGTTGGTGCAGGCGGCCCAGCAGCCGGGGGCCGACAGGCGCTCGGAATCCGCCATGGCGTGGACCGGAGTCCCGAGAGGCGCGGAGGATCTTCTCGCTTGCTCGTGGGTTCGAGGACAGTACACACCCAGCCGTCTTGCCCGCCGTCTGACCGGGAAAGGGGCCCCGGGGCGAAGGAGGGAGTGAATCACCGCGCGGAGCAGAAGCGGGCGGGGCCGGAGCGGGCCGGGCCAGGTGGCCGCCGCCCCGGAAGCCCCCTTGCCCCTCCCGCCAAGGATTCTCCCCGCCCGGCGCACAGCCCCCAGGGCGTCCCATCTACGGGGTCGCCAGCCTCTGAGGCTTGGCAGTTCTGCAAGCCATGTGTTGCACTGGAGAGACCCTTCACGCTTTTAGAATACCAATGCGCCTAGGGCTGCCTCAACTCAGAACCATGGGGATTTGGCTTTGGAAGGGAATGCCTCAGTTTCCTTAGCTGTAAAAGCGGCCGAGGCCAGGGTTAAACTCAGGTATGTTTCCAGAATTCGGAATATCTTGGATTTTAGAAAGTTTTCTCAATACATATAAGGTATATTATTTAACACTCTCAGCGGGGTTTGAGACTGCCCCGTTAAAAAACCAAACAAACAAACAAAAACACGTTAATATTTCCTCAAGGAATGGTGTGGACATTCACAGTAAGTGGGATAGGCCGGGACCAAAAATTTTTCCTGGTTAAGTCAGGTCAAGTTTTGTAACCAAATTGTGCCCAACTTGTAGGAAAACTGTTGGTTTCCAAAGCTTTTTGGATTTCGGAATTGTGGATAAAAGATCGTGGACCGTGGAATAAACCTCTTAGCATTGATGGAATGAGACCTCGCCAGTGCACAGGCTGAGAGAGAACAAAGCCTGTTGAGCATCAAACTGCTCAGTAAATGAAGGGTGGACGTTATTAATAGTGTCAGAGCTCAGGGTCTGTTTCTCTGTTCTGCAATTCTAGGGAGGTCCTGGCCCCAAGTGTTGGGCTTCCATTTCCTGGTTCTAAGTAGAGGGGCTGTCAGCCCAGTCTTAGATGAAGAATGGGGAAGGAGCACAGCTTTATTTATTGCCGTGAGCTTGGCAAGATGAGGGGAAGGCTGCTGGGTGCCAGACTGGGTGAAAAGGCTGATGACATTTGAAGAGTGTGTTATCCTGAGCAAGGAATTTCTCCTGACTCAGCCTCAATTTCTGCGTCTGAGACATGCACCTGGTCACGGAATCAGGATCTCCCCCCAAGATGTGCTGAGGGGCACACTCTCTCCAGAGTGAGTGTTGGTTTCATTCTCATCTCATCTGAGGAGAGGAGAGCCATGGCTGGAAGGCCAGGAGGGTTCAACCCAAGGGCCTGCCTGCTTCCCCCCCCACCCCCGAACCTGGGGTCCCACAAAACTAAGTAAGGGGCTCCCCTCTTTCAGCCCAGATTGCTGAAAGAGGGATTGGATAGTGGAAGGCATGAAGCATACCTTTCCCAAGGCTGAGTGTTTGCTTTCCAACTCTGTGAGGCCATGCCAGAGTTTCTAGAACAGAACAAACTCTGCTCTGTATCAGGGCCTTTGAACTTGCTGTTCTCATGAACTTGCTGTTCTCACTGCTGTCAATGCCCTTCCCCCAGTTCTACAAACATCTAGCTTCTGGTCACTCAGGTCCCAGATCAAATATTATGTCTTCAAGGAGGCCAGCAGCCCACCATCATTACCTCCCCCACCGTAACCTTTTGCTATCTTCCTAACTCTCACTTCTCTCTGAAATTATCTTTTATTTATTCATCTTCTTGTGTCTTTTCTTTTCTGACATCTGTCTACCCCCCCACTACCTCAGCTACACAAGGTTAGAAATCTTTATATTTCATTCCTCCAGCATCTCACCAGTGCCTATCACAGTGCAAGGTAAACAGTTGGGGCTCAATTAATACTTGTCAAATGCAGGTGAGATTAAGAGGACAGGCATGGGAATCGGGCAATATTAAATATTGCCTCAATCCCCAACTTCCTCAAGCTATTTATACTCACTGGGCCTCATTTCTCTCCTCTGTGAAATGGTCACATCGGGATTGTTGAGTCGATGTGTAACTAGATGGAAATAGATAGTGCCAGTAAAGCCAGTAGCCAGGATAAGACCAAGTAAATGGTGGCTGGCAGTACTATCGATATTATTAGTCTCCTGGGTGTGACTGTTTTTATAGGACTGGGGCTCTGGAGCCCTTTCCTGACTTCCCTAGAGCCACACTTCTACCAGGCTCTGAGTTAGGGTCAACTAGAAGCCCCAGTGCACTCCCCCACAGTGCCTACAGCGCTAATCATTCAAGGGTTCACCTCTTCACCTCTTTATACCCCAACTCCCAGCCTAGTTTTACAGTCCCTCTCTCCTCCCCAGCGCCACCTTGGACACTCACACTCGGGCCCTTTCCCTCCCTCACCTCTCCAGCCCCTCCCCGTAGGGGGTAGAGTTGCCCATTCCCTCCAGACCACAGCTTCCTTCGTTGGGGGGATGGGACGAAGTGTTCAGGATGTGGTGACAGCGGAGGTGACTGGACATTTCTGGCCTCGGTCAGCGCCCGCACTGGGGCTACACCGGAGTCCAGCTGGCCATATAAGCCCTGGCTTTGGGGCTCTGTTCCCAGGACGGAGGAAACTCGGGCCTCTCCCAGGACCGGGAACGCCCAGCGTGTAGCGTGTGCACACAAGCCCAGCTGCAGTTCCTCACCATCTATGGAAGAGGGGGGCGCAGCCCAAGGGTTCTAAAAGCCTTTTTTAGCCCGGCCCGCTGACTCACACCTTCCTGGCTCCGCCCCGAAGGGGGCTTCGGGGCCCCAGCCAGTGCCGTGAGGGTGGCAGTCTACAGCCAGCCAAAGCTGGCAGACCAGGCTGGAAGTGAGAGACCGCAGGTTCTCGGCTAAGGAAGCCGCCCCGGTTCTAGCCTTCCTATCCAGCCCAGCTGAGGGTCTGGACGACTCCTGGCCGGGGTTGTGGGTACACTGGTGCACTCCCCGCCACAATAGGCCCAACTCTGCATTCCTCACGCCACGCGCAATAATTAACTTTGAGCCCTGCTCAGGTCCAAAACAGTGAAATGAATAAATGGGGAGAGAAGCAGGAGTTGGCGAAGGGGAACGGCGTGGGGCTACACCGGCAGAAGCGAAGACCTCTCTAGAGGCACGAAAGAAACAGCAGGAAGTAAGCTTGCCAATGGTTGCTAGAAGAGGCCCTCCTCGCAACCAGGTCGACCCACCCGCTGCTTTACGGGTTGGACTCGGGAGCCCCAACCGGCCTAGAGCACCTGGCAAGTTAAGACCGGATTGAACCATTTTATTACCTCCCCGGCCCAAAGCAAGTTGCGCAGGGCTGGCCGGTCCGGGAGGGCCGTACCACTGACGCCTCGAGGGGAGCGAGGGCTGGTCGACTGCGAAGCAGGAGGGGGGAGAAGGCCAAGGAAGCTCTCCCCATGATGCTAGTGAGCGGCGGGCGGGGCACGCCAGATCCAGGTTGGGCAGTACCAAGTGACCCATCTGCTACACGCTCAGTGCCTCCGCCTTCCGGCTGCCATCTCCAGGGCTAGCTGCGCGGCCCCCGGGACCCCTAGGGCTCGCGAGAGCCGTTCCTCGCTCGGCACCAGCCAGGGTCCAGGGGAATCCGGGGTGTGGTCGTTGGGGTCCTCTGTGCGGCCCTCAGGAGGAGGAACCGCGGGGTCGTCCGCCACTCCTGGGCTAGACTCCGGGCTGCCCCGGGTTTGGGGCGTCGTACGGGGTCGAGGGTGCTGAAATGGGGAAGTGCTGGAGCTGCGAGACCTCGTCACCTCTGGTCCCCCAGGATCTGCACTGCGATCTGGGGATGGCAAGACTGAAGATTAGATTAGGCGATAGGGTGGGGAACGGAGATGGGGCCCCTTGGCTGAGGGTGGCCGGCAGACTCGAAGGGCTGAGGGAGACAGAGACCCCAGTACTTAGAGAAACCTCCCTCAATGAATGGACACGCCCTTCAGGAACCGGAGCCACTCCTCAAGACCCGACACCTCCTTTGCCGAGGGCCCTCCCTTCCTGGATGCAGAACACTCCCCTCAGGAATCAATTCCCACAACTCCCAAAGGAAGTCAAACCCCTCCCATACAGGATCCCAGACTCTCTCCCTTGCTCATCCCACCTTCCTCAACTCCCAACCCTTTCCCTAATGGATCCCTCGTCTTTTGGGACCAGACCCCCTACCCTCTGGATCCCCATCCCATCCCCTCTCCACTGAGACCCACTCTGCTTTCCCATCTGAGGACCACGACCCTTCTTTCTGAACAACCACTTTTGCCCCAAACCCCCTTTTTCTCTTCCCTCCCAGTACCTCAAAAGCCTCCCCTTTGAAATCCACCCTTATTCCTATCCTGGGACCCCGGTTTTCCCATCCCCACTTTTGAAAATATCATGACCCTCACAAACACCAAGCCCTGATTCTCCCCATTGTGACCACCAAACCCTTCTCACCCAGGTCCCCAGCCTCTCCACTCTGCGACCCTCTTCCTCTCACAGATCCCTGACCCCAATCCTCTGAGAAACCCACCATCTTGTTTCCAGGGCCCTCCCACCCCCTCAGGCTTGCCGGGGTGGGTCTCAGGAGGCCTGCTTAGCACAAGGCAGAGCCGGGGACCGCCTGTGCGAATCCGATCCATGACCTCGGCATGGGTGAGGCCCTGAGTTGACTCTCCATTGATGTGGAGCACGAGGTCGCCAGGCTGCAAGAGTGCAAGGCAAGGGGGTGCTGTAGAAAGGTCAAAATGGAGAGCACATCGACAACAGGATAGGACAGGGCTGGCACCGTCAAATGGAGGGTGCGTTATGCTTCACCTGCAAGCGACCGCAGCGCTGTGCTGGCCCATCCTTCAGCAGCCCGCGCACTGCCAGCGGAGCGTCCCCGCCTGCATCTCGGCCTCCACTTAATGTGAAGCCAAAGCCCACGGAACTGCGAACGAGTTCCACACAGAACTGATCAGAGGCCTGGGGCGGCTTCGAAGCACGACGTGCCTTACCCTCGGTCACTTGGGGCGGCGCGGTACGTGTACCCAAGGTCTCTGACCGACGATGCTGGAGTAAGGACACAAGTATACATACACTGCCGGTCTCGAGGCAGGTGGCCTCGAAAGAGGACAAGGTGTTACCTGGGGCCGGTGTTCCACGAAAGTGGCATGAGGAAGGCGACTGTCTGTGACCTCTATGTCCGCAGAATCCAGCACGCTAACGTCTGGGGGATGAAAAAGGCAGTCGGAAGGGTACTATAAAGAAACTATCTAGGACCAGCCTACTGAGTTAATATTTCTAGCCTCATCTCATTTCCTTGCCTCTAGAATGCAGAGACAGACATGCTCATCCATTTAACTAGGCTCCGCCCACACGAATAACTGTCCTGATCCCGCCTTCTTAGCTAATAACCCTGGGACCAGCTATTTGAATAATCCTAAAGACCTTCCTACCTCCCTCTAATAACACGCAGATCCCGCCCCTCATATTAAACCCTTAGACTCACGCTGCAGGGTGCTACTCCAGGATTCCGCTGCTGAAGATGCCAGGCCCCGCCCTCCAATCAGTCTATAAACTTCAAGCTATTCCTGACCTTTCGAGCCGCTACCCCAGTGCGCTTATAGACTCCACCTCCTTGACTAACATTCCAGGCCCGCCCCTTAGCCTAATGCCTGCCCCAACCCTCTCCAGGCCCCACCTCCTCCACTCGAAACCCCGCTGACAAAAGTAAAGATCAAGCTCCGCACCAACAACTAACCTTGCAACGTTCACCTACTGCAGTAACCCTCTCTCTGTCAACTCCTAGAGGAATGATCTAGACTAACCCCAGCACCCTCGAATCACCGCCGAGGCCCGTCCTCCCAACTCACACCCACTGGCCCCACCCAGGGGAGTAACTAACACTCCTGGGCCCGCCCCCCAGACCCCCGCTCTACTCCGACCACGCCCCTGGAGGCCCCGCCCCCATCACGCACCCTCCTTGGGGCGCAGGCGCACTGTGCCGTCGGCCCGGCGTATCAGAGCCACGACGTCGGCCGCAGCTCGGGCCGCCAGGGGGCGCGCGTCCAGCCGCGCCAGGAGCTGCCGGGCTCTGGGGCCCGCGGGCGGGGGAAGGCCACGGCCTGCGCGAGTGAAAAAAACAGATCAGGGCCCACCCTGAGTCTCAGCGACCCCCTACAGCCCCCCCCCACGATCGAAGACCTAGAATGCCCCTCAAGATCCCGGAGACCCGAGACCACTCCCTCGGTAGTTCTGAAAGTCACCGACTGCCCCTCTCATCTCCCGCGACCCCCGACCATCGCGGGTATGCCCGTGGACCCCCAACTGCACCCACGATATCCCTGGACAGCTATTTAAGCCCAATATTCCTGGACACCTCCGAACACCCTGTGAATAACTCTGAAGGTCTCTCACTGCTCCCCTATAACTTCAGATTCCAGACTCTTCCCCGAACATCGAGAAGTATCCCGACTCCCCCAGATGTCCCAACAGAACACGGTCTGCTCCCTGTGGCCCAGGCACCCCCGAGTCCCCTCCAGCTATCCTAGGCAGCCCTGCCGGCCCACATATCCCCAGAGCCCCCAGCCTAACACCCCACAATTCACCAAAGACCCCGAGTGCCCAGGTGTCCCCAGTGACCCTGGGCAGACCCCTCCGGCACACCTCCCCGGAGACTCCGGAGAGACCCCCGGGTCTGGTGCGCCGCCCCGCAGCGCGGGTGCGGGTAGGGCGCCTCGAGCCCAGCCCGGGTCGCTGGGCCCCTGCCCTCCACCGCCTCCGCCCGCAGCCGCTAGGGCGCCAGGGCTGCTTTGTTTACCACCTGTCAGAAGGAAAAGGTGAGAAGCAGACAGGCGGGGCGAGGGCTGGCAGGGACGCGCCCACTACCCTCCCACCCCGCGCCCCGTACCTCCTCTGCTCCCCTTAGGGTCCGTGGCGCCCCCCGCGCGCGGCTCCATGACCCGTCCTTGGCCTGGTGGACGCACTGCCGCCAACGACGCGTTTGGAGCGCCCGGGAGCGCTCACCTGGCGGCCCGCCCGGGCTTGGACGCGGCTGAGGCCGGCCGGTCCCGTGCTCGGCGCCCCAACCAGCGCGGTGACCTACCTGGCGGCCGCCAAGGAGGCCTGGCCCTGGGAGCCAGCGCGAGCTCTTGGCCTTGCTCTGCCTCAGGCGCTGCCTCTCTTTCCCAGCATCATGGGAAAACTCTTTCTGCCCAGGGGATGTTGTTATTCCACCTGTGAGAGGGGCAAGTCGAGGCCCAGAGAAGTTAAGGGCCCCACCCGAGCTCTGACGACTAAAAACGGGGTGCAGGATCGGAACCCAAGTTTACCAGGGTATTCTGCAGCCTCCACCAGAGCTTTGCACATCGTAGGCACTCAGTAAATTTGCAGTGAATTTTTCCCTACTGGGGGACTGGAAGAGTACGGTGGGCTGGGGAGGAGGGTGCCCTTGGAGCCTTTGGGAGCTCCGGGAGGCTTCAGGGGCCTGAGCATGATAGGGTTGGGGGACTCAAAAAGTAGGGAAGGGCAGGTCTCCTGGAGAGTGGGGAGGCAGTAGGAGCCTGGACTTGAGGAGCCTTTGAAGGCACTAGTGGGGGAGGGGACACTAGCCAATGAGAAGGGAGAAATGAGGCCCTTCCTAGGTTTGAAAAGGGGTGGGGCGTGTCTGGAGACAAAGCCCCCAAGGGTGGAGCTCTTGGGCAGAGTGCTACTGAAGTGGAAGGAGGAATGGGGAGCTGTGAGAGAAGGCCTGTGGCCACCACTTTGTGGAAGAAGAAACTGAGTTTGGGAGCGGCCCAGTGTTGCACAGTCAGCCAACAACAGTGGGGGTCTCAGGCAGCTTACCCCCTACAGTCATCTGGTCCATGACTGTTTCATTATGGGATATGAACACACTGTGTCCTGATGTCCATTCTGGCAGGCTGTGCAACCTCTCTCATCCACCTTTCAGGGTCCTGGTTTTGTTGTAGTTGAAAGGGCTGAATGGTCCGTGCTTTCCTTCCTCCTGTAGTCCCATGCCCCTCCCATCTCTGACCTGACCTTGTCTGTGGGGGAACACACTGGACCTCCTTCACTGCTCTGCCCTGTTCTTGTGACCGCATGGGGCTTTCACAGCTCCCTAAATATGCCCACTATTATTCCTATCTCCCTGCTTTTACCTATGCTGTTCCCTCTTACTAGGAGACCTTTCCCAGCCTTTTGTCTACCTGGAAGGTGACTGCACGTTATCAAGGCCCAATTCAAAGTCTTCAACCCTGCGTTCTTCCATTTCTGAAAAGAAAGAATGCATGTTTATATGCAGACGATGGATGGTTGTCCCTGCAGAATTGTAAACCAAAGTGCTTCTCTCTGTGGGGATGAGTCCAAGCTGCTTTCTTTTCCTGAGTCTTCCCAAGAGAACTGGGTTGAGGAGAAAAACCAAGGCTGAGCCCTAGGCATCCATATCCTCTCCTCCACTGGGAAGCCTTTCCACTCTCTCCTCCAGGGCCCAGTCCCCTTTCCCTGCCCCAGGGACCTCCCCAATCCTGCAGGGCAGTGCTGGTCGCCAGGATCACTGGCTTCTCTGGGCATCTGCCTGCCTGAACTGGGATCCACTCTGTCCCTCTTGGCCACCCCTGGGAGTCCAGCTGATGTGTGCGCTCCCAGGGGTCCCCAGCAGTCCCCAGCATAAGATGGCTACATCTGCCCACCTTCTCTTCAGAGAAGCCAAGATGCTTTCTTTGTATACTGCTGTGTAAACCTCTTACGTATGGCTTGTGGAGTGAGAAATAAGGCAACACAAGGCACAGTTATTACCCCAGTTTTATAAATTAGGAGAAGGAGGCCCAGAGAGTGTAAGCAACCTACCGTTGTCTGGCCCTGTTCTTACTGAGACTTCAAGCACTGAAGATGGAGATGGCAGCTTCCAATCTGGGGTTTGGGGCTTGGGGAACAAGTGATTGTGGTAGAGGGGTGCTTAAAGATTGAGGAATGGGTGCCTGAGGTTCTATAGATTGCTTGATGGGAGGGCCTTGCAGAGGAGCATTGTCGAAAGTTCAGGATGGTGGATGGTGAAGGGATGTTTCCAAGTATCCGGCAGCCTGGATGTTTCAGAAATGGAGCAAAGAGCTTACCAACTGGATGGGGGCTCGACGGTTTGGAGATGGGGGATTGTTTGAGACTGGGAGATGCTCAGTCTTAGGGGAGTTTGCAAAGGAATGGGGTGTCCAAGGATGGCCTCAGGGATGAATGGTAGGGACGGGACCCTGGGTGAGAGTTTGCTGAGAGCTGATACCAGCAGGGCCACAAATCTGGGGATGGGGCAAGGATTGGGGTTGAGGGAGCCATGCTCAAGTCACCCAGGCAGCTGGCAGGGTTGGGGGGGGGCACACAAAAGGCAAACCCTAGCTACAGAATGTGGAACCCTAGCTACTGCTTTGTCTGGACCCTCGGTGTACCCCTCTGGGAAGTGGTGGTAATGAAGTGTGCATGGTAAAATTGCCAAAGGATTAGGAATAAACCTTCCAAACCACCTGCATTGTGCCCAGCCAACCTGTGGTAGCAGCTCTGGTGCTTATCTTTAATCAATATTGATTACAATCAGGCTGGACAGGCCAAACCCCCTCTTAGTCCTCTCCATTGTGGGTTTAAACCAATGCATTCTTAGCCTCATCCATTCATGAAAATAAGCCTTTTGCCCCTTTTAGCATCACCTAATTCATGGATTTAAGTCACTCCCTCTCACAACCCCACCAGTTCTTATTAATTTAATCAAATATTTCTTCTTTTTAAGAAATAGGTCCCTTTTAAGGGGATTGAGGTTTAATTGACATAAAATTTGATAGGTTTTGAACTTGTTACTGAACGAGGTTCATTTGTTCAACACTCAGCAAGCCAAACGCTGAGACAGCAAGGTCTGCAGCAGAGAAAGGGTTTATTCACCACCTCCCCAAAGGCACAGGGCTTGAGATACTTATGGGATAAAGAAGCAGGGTGGTCTTAGGCCCAGGGTAAAGTGTTTGGAGGCAGGGAAAAGGTGAGGCAATCGATGTTCTGCACAGGTGTATATGAGTTACATGCTTCTTCATGGAATGCATGTTCAAAAATGGAGGTGCTTAGCATGATCTGAGGGTGGAGTTTTCCGCCCTCTGATGTCAAAAGGTCATTCATCAAACACCTGTGCAGGCCCAGTTTTGGGGTCGGTGATCCCAACCAGTCTTAGCTGGCTCGAATGGGACAAGAGATGACTCTAAGTTTCTGGAAAACAGTGGTAAGCCCCATTACTATAGCAACCCATATGTCAGAGGTGTTATCTATAGGGGGTGGTAAAGGAGGCAAAAATAATTAAGGCGAGTTTGGTCAGTGAAGGCAGGTTACAAGCAGAGGGGTTTTTAACAAGCTGTTCCCTTACCTGCTGTTCTGTAAGACAAGCTCAAGAATTTCTGTTAGGCACCTGAACAGAAACATTAACCCTATGGAGCATGGTTTCAAACTGTTTACAACTGTGAGACTATCACTACAATCAAGATAGGGAACACAATCCTCACTGCCAAAAGTTTTCTCCTGCCCCTGTGTGATTCCTCTTTCCTGCCTGCTGCCCCCTCCCCCTCGTCACCAATCTACTTTCTTTCACTGTACATTAGTTTGCATTTTACTAGATTTTTATATAAACAGAATCATACAGAATGTACTCTTTGCATGGGGAGGTAGGTCTTGCTTCTTTCACGTAACAGAATTATTTTGAGATCCATCCAAATTTTACATCCATTTTTATTGCAGTGTAGTATTCCATTGCATGAATATTCCAGTTTGTTGATCCATTCACCTGTTGATGGACATTTGGGTTGTTTTCAGTTTGGGGCTATTAACATATGCTATGGACTCGTGTCTCTCCAAAATTCATATATTAAATCTCTAACCCCCGATGTGATTGTATCTGGACATAGAGTCTTTAGGAGGAAAATAAGGTTAAATGATGTCATAAGACGGGAGTTCCCTGGTGGTCTAGTGGTTAGGATTTGGCGCTTTCACTGCTGTGGCTGGCCCGAGTTCAACCTCTGGTCAAGGAACTAAGATCTCGCAAGCCACAGGACATGGTCAAAATTTTTAAAAATGGTGTCATAAGAGTGGGGTCCTAATCTGATAGGATGTGGCCTGATAAGAAGAGGAAGATCTCTCTCTCTCTCTCTTCCATGTGAGGATACAGAGTGAAGGTGGCCATTTGCAAGCTGGGAAGAGAGCCTTACCAGGAACCAAACTGGCTAGCACCTTGGTCTTTGACGTTCCAGCCTCCAGAACCATGAGAGATAAATTTCTGTTAAGTCACATGGTATTTTGTTATGACAGCCTGAGATGACTAAGACAACAAATAAAGCTTCTATGAACATTCATTTACAAATATTTGTGTAGACATATGCTTTCATTTCTTTTAGGTAAATACCTAGGAGTGGAAGGCTGGATCATGCATGTAAGTTTAACTTTTCAAAGATACTGCCAGACTTCCCTGGTGGTCCAGCAGTTAAGACTCAGTGCTTCCAATGCTGGGGATGTGGGTTTGACCCCTGGTTTGGAAACTAAGATCCCGCATGCTGTGGGGTGCAGCCAAAAAAAAAAAAAAAAAAACCCGATACTGCCAAACTGTTTTCTAAAGATGCTATATACCATTTTACATTTCCATCAACAGTATATGAGGGAATTCCCCGGGGGTTCATTGGTTAGGGACTCGGTGCTTTCACTGTCTGGGGTCTGGGTTCAATCACTGGTTGGGGAAATAAGATCCCACAATTCCCACGGCACAACCAGAAAAAAAAAGTAAACAGTATATGAGAGTTCCATTTCCTCCACATCTTCACAAACAGTTGGTATGGTCAGATTTTTAATTAACTTTAGCCATTCTAATACGTGTGTAATGGTATTTCATCATGATTTTAATTTGCACTACCCAAAAGACTAATAATATTAAGCATTGTTTACACGCTTA